CCAGTCCCCTATCTCCTCCCCTCCAGCTCTCCTCATGATGATGTCACAGCCCATGCTGATCACATAGGCGGGTCACATGGGCGGGACTATGTATTTCACTCTACCTCTACTACATTCCCCATAAGCCTTCACGTGGGTGGGTCCATGGACGCCATATTGGTATCCCTAGTAAAAGGGTTTCTTTTGAGGCTACAATGCTTGTTTTAAGGGGAGATACATCACATTCTCCTTTCCACTTCCCCCCTCAAGTTCCTTACTTTTCTTTTATCTTTTGAAGCCAGTTCATTTACTTATACTGGCGGTGGCCATCTTTATGCTCTCATTATGGTAATTGCGGTGGCCATCTTGGTTTCCCCTTTCTTAAAGCTACCTGACAAATTCAATACTACCTCTGTTATTAAAATAAATTGTATTAGAATGTTATCTATATTTCTATGTAACATCATCTTTTTACTTTTTTTTTTTATATTGTTTTATATTTTACTGTATACAATGTTTTAACTAATTAACTCCTGGTCACATGACCAACCACACCACCTGTGTTTAAGCTATTTTAACAAGATAGGTCTTACACACTGTAAACACTTTTAAAAAGCCTGTTAAAAGAGAAACACGTTAGTGTTATTATCAATTTTATACCTTTTATTATCTACAAATAAACCTTATTGTTTTATACTACTTTGGAGACTCTAGACCTATCTTTGAAAAAAAAAAAAAATTTTATGCTGGCATTTTTTATCCTGGAATTTTATCCTGAAGATTCTCACAGGAACATCCTCGGTGGGGATCATACCACCCAAGCCTTATAGGATTGAGCAATATCTTTATCAGCTTATTACGTACAGAGCACTATAGTCTGTTTTTATCTTCCCTGTATACTGAGGACATCTGACTGCTGATCAGTGGTACAACAATTCACATCCTGAGAACAAAAAACTCACCAAGAAGTACCTGGATCTACCATTATATCCACAGACTGGGATTGTTTTGTCCATGTGCTTCAATCTGGAGCTGAACATAAGCTCCAGAAAATTGTAAGTGCATTTCTGTTATCTATACTCCACCAAGATTTTTAATATGCTACACTATATTAAGTTTCTTTGTTCATTAAGTGTTCTTGCATAGCAAGACCACTTAATGTTATCTCACATATATATTATTATTATTAAGTGTTCTTGCATAGCAAGACCACTTAATGTTATCTCACATATATATTATTATTAAGTGTTCTTGCAAGAACACTTATTGTTATCTCACATATATATTATTAAGTGTTCTTGCAAGAACACTTATTGTTATCTCACATATATATTCTTATTAAGTGTTCTTGCATAGTAAGACCACTTAATGTTATCTCACATATATATTATTATTATTATTAAGTGTTCTTGCATAGCAAGACCACTTAATGTTATCTCGTGTTCTGCATAGCAAGACCACTTAATGTTATCTCATTATATATTGTTGGTGTTCCTGTATAGCAAGACCACCTAATGTTATCTCATAGAATATTATTATTATTATTAAGCAGTTTCTGCATAGCAAGACCACTTCTATAATGTTATCTCACATATATATTATTATTATTATTGTTATATGTCTTGCATAGCAAGACCACGCACGTTATCTCACATATATATTATTATTAAGTGTTCTTGCATATGTATCCAAATTTAAATGTTATCCTATATATAATATTATTCTTATTCTTATTATAGCAAAATTTGCCACCCTAACTCCTCCCACAGTTTTTACACTACATAGACAAAAATTTACCAAACGTGCAGATTGTTCCCGATCGGATTGCTATTACTTTGTGGAACGTTTCGCCGAATGGTTCACGGAATATCGTCGTTCTTGTGGTGAAATTTGTCCCATAGGAATAAATGGCAAAGCTAGAGTGGGAGCTGGTAAAAGCTGAAAAATCAGGACATGATTTCTAAACTGCCACCACTCCCTTATTTTCAGGCCCACCTACACAAATCTTATATCAAAACGTTCAGCTATCCCTGCTGCCACTAAACATGTCAACGGCTAAGCCGTAGTCCTGATAGTTTTCACAATATAATCATTTGTTTGCAACTAATGCCGTCCATTGACTTTCATTGAAACTTCACTCTGCAAAGCTCAAATTTAAAGTGCAATTTCTAAACTGCGACTGTGCCTTCATTTTTAATACTTCAGAGACATACTATGCATCAAAATGTAGGTCTGGGTCTTGTGATTCTCACAATATAGAGCTCTTCACTGTAGGAGTTATAGTTTTTAAGATACGACCGTTTGAAGATGGCAACCGCAAAAATACTCTGACCTGTGTCAAGCTGCAGCAGCAAGTGATGTCATAGACAGGGCCTTTTGAACACCTGCTAATGTTTTTATAAATGTATGGTTTAATGTAGCTGTGCAACAACGTTGCAATTAAATGTGCTATGTAAATGATAACAGTCACTCCACCCACTCCAGTTGTAGACTATTGGTGAAGGCAAGAACACTTCACACAATTTCCCAGAAATTGTAACTTTTCTAGTTATTATTATTATTATTCTTATTATAGCAAAATTTGCCAGCCCAACTCCCACAGTTTTTACACTACATAGACAAAAATTTACCAAAACGTGCAGATTGTTCCCGATCGATCATTATTACTTCAGGAACGCTTCACAATGGTTCAATGGGAATATCGTCGTTCTTGTGGCGAAATTTGTCCCATAGGAATGAATGGCAAAGCTAGAGTGGGAGCTGGCAAAAGCTGAAAAATCAGGACATGATTTCTAAACTGCCACCACTCCCTTATTTTCAGGCCCACCTACACAAATCTTATATCAAAACGTTCAGCTATCCCTGCTGTCACTAAACATGGCAACGGCTAAGCCATAGTCCTGATAGTTTTCGCAATATAATCATTTGTTTGCAACTAACGCCGTCCATTGACTTTCATTGAAACTTCACTCTGCAAAGCTCAAATTTGAAGTGCAATTTCTAAACTGCGACTGTGCCTACAATATTAATACTTCAGAGACATACTATGCATCAAAATGTAGGTCTGGGTCTTGTGATTCTCACAATATAAAGCTCTTCGCTGTAGGATTTATAGTTT